AGGGCTTTCCATGCTATTTGGTAGAGGTTGAGTGCCTTGGAAAGTGAGTCTAGCTGCAGTTATAATCAGTTACTCTTTCCTACATCAGCATCCCAGGTTAGACATGATAGAAACTTTTGGAGCTCCTGACCGTGGCACTGCCCTGGATGGCATGGATATGTTTGAGGAACAGGAAATGAGTTTTCTAAAGAAAGGTCTCTTCCCTTAAAACCAAAGGAATAAATGCTCTGTGTTTATTTCTAGGGAGAGCTTTTAGCAAGCACTTAGCAGATCAGGAGCCAGAACTGATAACACTGGCTCCCTAGTGAGCCTGCCCCTTTAGCTTGGCTGCTTGCATGCTGACTTCTATTGAAGTCCCGCATCCTTTCCAAAACTAGGTCTGTAAGACTAAGAAAAGCGTGGTCATTTTTTCCCACTCACCGGCTCCCTCACACGCATTGTGTAGTATTTTCCACCACAGAAAAACTGGTAGGAAGAAAACTTGCCCCTCTCTCGCTCCCAGGTCACACTATTACCTGCTCTAGTCTGTGTGGCTGTCACTGACGTCCTTTTTGCACCTCATAGAAATGTCACTCCAAGGGAAAACTTTGTTTGATTAGCATGTTGCAAAAACTTTATCATGAAATATAGGCAGAGATTATTCGCTCCCTTAAATGGTCACTAAACACTTTACATCTAAACGCAGAGGACCATCTAAATGAGTACAGTTGTACCTTTTTGGATTGACAGATCTATTAAAAAGGAAAAACACGGGAACTCGTTCTTGTTTCCTGTAAGAACTCCCTGAAGAGTTGCACCCTCTGCAGCTTAACAAGGGCCACTGGATTTGAGAGGACACCGACCAGAGCAAAGAGGTTGCATCTCTTGGCTCTCCTGAGGTCTGCAGCACACCAGTTGGAAACAGGAGTCCCAGTTGTATTAGCACTAAAGAATCACATACAAACCCTCCACAGTTACACCTGACCAGTCACTACTCCTCTTAAATACTGGCTTTTCTCTTCACGGTGGGCTTGTACAGGGCTTGGCTTAGGGGCTGGACACAGCGCTGGACTCACCTAGAAACTGGCAGGTGAGAGTCAGGCATGTGGACAAACTAATAGCAGCTGAATGCAAGGCAGGGCTGTGCTTGACCACTGTTGCCTGCTTTACTCAAACGTGATCCAGGATTTCTGCAGCTTGTCCTGGGCAACATCCTTTACTAAATTTCTCATGTGTTGGCAATTATGCGTGATAGTTTAGGAAGGGATTCTTTCAAAGTTAAGCTAGATAGTAGAACCTACTGGAAGATCTTTTGAGTTGGATTGACATTCTAAGTTTGCAATGAGGCTTTGGGAAAACCTGCCTTCGATATATTGTTTTTAGGTGTGCTCATGAGCGTATGCATTAGCTTTTCTTCCTTTTATAGGAACACCAACAAATCTTAGGGCTTTTGCTCAGTAGGTGATAATGCACAAATGTTATGCATCCTGTGACAAGTCTGGTTCCCTGAACTTGTGCAAAATGATTACTTTCTCCTCTCATACCAAATTCCCACTGGATGGGATTCATCCCACCAGCTCTGCTTGTCCAGAAGGAGGTTAGAATTAGAACTGCTTCCCCGCAGGCAGCTGCCCAGGCTCTCTCCTTAGTCAGTTGAGACTAGGCCCTGCTACAGAGTGTCTCATTTCACCTTTGCTGCCCACCCACATTATAATGTGAGCCATCCAGAGGCCTCTGTCTCTCCCCACTGACAGGACAGGGAGCCTGGACGACTCATTTGGACTGGACACCAAAGTTTTAGACTGTTGGAAGTTAGATGTGGTGAGTCTCAGGAGACTCACCTAGACACATACAGACAGTGTGAAGTCTGTGTCAGAAAAAAAATCTGTAAATGAAATTTACATTTCAGTAAAATATTTTGCCCATAAAAGACAAAAACGTACATCAAAGATAAAATGGATGGGATTAATTCTAGGGGGAAGCCATGAAAGAAATGCAGGTCCGTAAGAAACTAAAGGCATAAACCCATAAAGCTGGCTGTCAGTTTTTATGTGTTTGAATGTATGGTACTATACATAATTTTAGATTAAATTTAGGTGAAAACATATTTGTTGTTTTTCTCTCAAAGGCCCATTCCCATGATCCTACTGAACATATGGTGTGTTCCGATCTCATGTTGAACACAGGCATATGCTCTGATCCTGGAGTGTGCTTCAGAGCCTGTGGGTAGATGATGGCATTTGTTGGTCTTCCCTGTGAGATAAGTGGTGGTGTGCAGGCAAGCAGCTGCTGTCCTGGTGCCTAACTAAGAGCATCAAGGTGCTACTGGTTGGTGTTGCTGAGAGAGGTACAGCCTGCCTGGGTTCCCTTCTTTCTTCCCACCCCAATACTCTGCTCCTGTTCCTGCATGGAGAACACACTGGAGGTCAGAGCTCAAGGGTTTGGCAGTTTCTTCAGGACTGAAAGATGCTCAGAGAGTAGCCTGCCATGGTGTGCGTTGTTCCCCATGCTTTGGATATAACCCCTGGTTTGGGAGACACAAAGGTGATATTCCCAACACACTACAAGGAATCCATCTACTCCTCATGCATGGCTGGGCCCCAAATGATATATCAGACCCCAAAATCCATCTCCCTTTCTGGGTGAGAGGGCACAGTTTCCACCTGCTCCTCTACCAGCCAAATAAGTAGTTCATTTTGTGTTCTTCAGTGAGCAGCTTGGGATTTGAATCCGTTCCTGTATCTCTCCTTTCATTCTGCGTGTATCATCAGGTCACTGCTGTCATTTGGTTAAATACATGTTAACAGGTTCCTGGTATTGGGTGGCTGAGTAGATATTTTCTTGTCACTTGGGGCACAGATCTAAATCTCACAGAGCTCTTAAAAATCTTGGCAGTACTTTATGGCTCTTGTTTACTTTCTCAAGGAAAATGACGGATTTGGGACAATGGGACTGAATGGGGGGGTTAGGTCTGTCTGTTGTGTTTTTTTCCTCCATGTCTTGAGGAGGGATTGATCTTGGTTTATCATCTGATGGTGGAAAACCCTTCATGTCTGAAAGCTGTGGCCAGACCACAGGGTCCTTTTTTGCTGGATATAGGTGATGTTGAACTTAAACTCTTATCTGTCTTTTGAGCAGTCTCTGTTGCTTTTCTTAGGGATGTTTTTCTGTTCAACTTTTTGCTTTCCATGAAGGAAGACCTCAGGAAGGAATGGGATCTTCTGGTTCCCACTTTTCCTTGCCTGCTTCTGTCCCCTGTGTGGGGAGTCACGTGTGGAAGTCAAGGCCAAGGACTTTCCAAGACCATGTGGCACCTAGATGCCAGGCAATGCTCAGCTGTAAGTCACTTTGCCTCAGTGCTTTTCTGAACTGAGCTCCTCTGCCCTGGATTGATCCCATTTCTCCTGAAGCACTGATGCCAGGATCTCAGCTACCATTGGTTTCTTTAGACCATGGCACCATGAGGGGGTGATTCAGACTTTCAGCTCTGAAGTGCCTTTTGTACATGTCCTGTCCTCTCTCTCCCTCACTGCTGACTGCAAAAGGTTCTGAGATGCACAAGATGCCTGACATAGGTGCTTCTGCTGTCCAGAAGGTCCCTAGGATGCAGACCCTACATCACTGGCTTTAGTGGAAATGAGGCTGTTGCCAGAGCCTCATGCTGAGGCTGGCTGTGGGGCTCATCAGCCTCTCTGCCCTTTTGCTGCCCAGATGCCTCAGCTCTCTGGCAGACCTTGCTGCTCCTGCAGTGGGCTGTCCACATGCCCCTTCTCCTGTCCAACCAGGGTGGTGGCTTTAAGTGCAACAGGGGAGCAATCCAGCCATACCCAGAAACACACGTTAAATAGGACAGTTGTCGTGACACCAGGAGAAAAATCAATCTTCCATAACACTCCTAAATCAAAACATGGACACTCTCAAGAGCAGCTTGGGGAGTGCAGTTACAGTCAGTGACCAAACTTATTTTTCCTTCTTTCTTTTGGCAAAGTATTTATTTGTCAAAAGTTTCTGCTTTGTCAAGCCCATGTTCATGCTCTGCATCATGCATTAGTCCTGCTTCCCTGCCAGCCCCACCAGGATCCCTGCGCCAGGGGTGTCAGGCCCCTCTCAAGCGGCAGAGACACTTTACAGCATGTCACAAAAAAACACCTTTCTTCAACCTGAATCAAAGCCTATTTGCTTGCTTGGAAGAAAGCTGTTTATTTGTTCAGAAGAGACTTTATGTCTGTTTCAAGGAGGGGCAGAAATGGAAGCAAAGCACCGAAAAGCCAAGGGTGGGGTACAGAGGCTCAGAGCAGACCTTCTTCCCAAGCATCCTTGAAACACCCGCCGGGGTGTCCTGTTTAGCCTGCTTGATCCCGTGGAGGACCTGCCAGTACCCCATGGCACCTCTAGTCTCACAGCCTGCTGCCTGGCATCCTCCCTTCGGGAGATCTGGCGCCGATTCCAACCAGACTGTCATTTCCAGGTCAGTCTCCGCATTTCTGCTGACCACGTTGCCTCCATCATGAGATCATGTCTTTCCAGAGAAATCCCACTAATGCCTTCATTCTGCGAGACTGGTATATATAGGGGGAGCTTCCCTGGGGCTGCACTGCGCAGTCCAGCCAAGGCATCGCTGTCTCCTCAGCGACTGCACTGTCCCCACCGCTCTCCCCTTTCAGCCACAGGTTGCAGCAGCAGCAAGCATGGACATTACCATCCAGCACCCCTGGTTCAAGCGTGCTCTGGGACCCCTCATTCCAAGCCGTTTGTTTGACCAGTTTTTCGGAGAGGGTCTTCTTGAGTATGATCTCCTGCCTTTGTTCTCTTCCACTATCAGCCCGTACTACAGGCAATCCCTCTTCCGCAGCGTGCTGGAGTCAGGCATTTCAGAGGTAAGGACACTTAGTCTTCCTCTCATTTTCCTTCCTCTCCCTCCTTATGCCTCCACCTGCTCCTCCCCACTCACAGCTCACTGGCAGAGCTGGCATCTGTAGCCCATGCCGAGGTGCGAGGGGCTGAGGAGGACCTCCAGCCCAGCACCAAGCACAGCACGCCTGTCCCTTCTTGGGCACAGAAGGAAACCTTTGCTGGGGAGAAGGCTTCCCTTTGAGAAACAGAAACCATTATGGTTCCTGACAGTTGTTTCCAACATGTAAAAGGCTGCTTTTGCTGCCCTTGCACCCACCGGCTGGGTGGTGAGGGAAGAACTAGGTTGCTGTAAGAGTAAATGCCCGTGAAGGCAGCTCAGCATGGGAGAGGACCTTGGTGAGTAGGAGCTTCCTCCGGCCCCCTCCTTGGCCTCAGGAGCTCAGTGGCTTTTACAAGCCCATGCTGGAGGACCCAGAAGCAATTCTCCAAAGGCAGTATGTATGAGGAGATCGTAACTGTTGGGGGCTGTAGTCTGAAGCCCAGTGACTGGTGCTTTCTCTGTCTCTCTCTTACTGGTTTCCTCCCAGAGCTAAGACCACAAAGAAACCAGAAATCACTGAAAGGATAAAACATGTGCTATCAAAGAATGTTACACTGGTTTCCATCCCTTCTTGCTGCCAAGTACAAATGCACGGTGCATTTGGCAGATTGCTGACTGCAAAGGGGTCTTTGGCACAAGAATATTGACAAGAAGTGACACCTCTCCCCAGGCAATAGTAATGGCGTGGATGCCTACTGTGTCTCTGGGTCCTCAGGATGGGAAGAAGACCCCTGCTGAGGCCTGTGGTCAGAGAAGGTGAAACCGTGCCACTGCCAGGCCACACATTCTCTGACTTCTAAGCTGCCATGATGCTGGCGTTGCCGCCAAGTGTAGCACTTGCGTCTTATGGTCTAACAATGTTTGTTTCAGGTGAGGTCTGACCGGGACAAGTTTACAATTATGCTGGATGTGAAACACTTCTCTCCCGAAGACCTGAGTGTGAAGATCATCGATGACTTTGTGGAAATCCATGGCAAGCATAGTGAAAGACAGGTGAGTGGAAGTGACGGTAATGGTGGAGCAACTGGGGAGTCAAGCTTCATTTTCTTTCTTTCCAACAGTCCTCAGCTGAAGGGAATATATCAGAAGAAGGAATTATTTATTTATTTATGTATTTATTGTCATTTATTTATTGTCATTGTTGGCATGGCCTGTTCCCATAGAGCGCCAACCAGATATCTGACAATAATGAGCTAATCCACTCCTTCTTTGTTTATTTTCAATCATCATCTTCCATAACCGTCAGATGACAATGTCCATTGTTCACAAATAACACTGGATCAGACAAAGAACATCATCTGGCGCTGCCGAAGCATGGCTGAGTTTTCATAAGCCAGAATTGTTAGTGAAAACAGAGTTTTCATATGCTGATCTAGGAGAGAAAAGCAAGAGCAAACAAAGCAAAAGAAAAACAACCAAGTGCCTCAGGCTTGGAAACTTTTAACACGTATGTTATGGAAATATCTGTGGGGGTCGTAAAGTGAATTATACCAGCAGGGGTTTTTAATTCTTCTCATACACTTTTTTGGCCAGACAAAGCTCTAGCCTGGAAACAGTATGCATTTTTTAATTTAGATATTTTTTCCAGAGGAAGAGAGCAGCCTTTTTCACGGCTGACTTAAAAAAGAAATTGCATTCCTCATTCTTTTGGCCGCAAAAAAAGAGGGTCAGGTTTGTGTACTTTGGCTGACACAGCGCTGCTGCCTGGTAAGGACGTACGTGGGAGCACACGCACGCAGTGTTTTACCTTCACAGAACCCCAGAGTTTCTCTCCAAACATCCTTTGAAATTAGAGGTTGTGGCAGGGCCCTACTCAAAGCAGATCCCAACCTATAATATGGCCAAAATCACACCGTGCTGCTCTGCTCAGTTCTTTCAGCTTTAGGGGCATCATGGAGGGACACCTGCCCCTGCAAAATGTTAATATAGAGTAAAAATCAGAGTTGTGCCTGGCAATACCAGCAGTACAATGTCATGATAAGCCAGGGCAAGTGTGGACCCCCCTCCGACGGAGCTGCAGAGTTGGGTGGGGGGAGGTGTGGCCTGGTGCCAGGGGGTTTCTGACGAGCCTTCCCCCTTTTCCCCACTGCCTCTCAGGACGACCACGGCTACATCTCCCGTGAATTTCACCGCCGGTACCGCCTGCCCGCCAACGTGGACCAGGCTGCCATCACTTGCTCCCTGTCCAACGATGGCATGCTGACCTTCTCGGGCCCCAAGGTGCCCTCCAACATGGACGCCGGCCACAGCGAGAGGCCCATCCCCGTGTCCCGGGAGGAGAAGCCCACCTCTGCCCCTTCCTCCTAAGCCCGCCTGCTGCCGCAGGACGCAGGCTGCCACTGCCTGCTGGTCTCATTTCCAGAGCCACTGCGTAGATATCAGTGAATATCTAGAGGGGTTTATTTTGGTTCTCCCCCCCCTTCCTGCACGCTTTGTTTCTATTTTTTTTTCCCTTTCCCTTGGATGGGATGAGGGGCTGGGTGAGCGGCCGGTGGACTTTGAAGCTTAAACCTGCAAGCTGTTCTGTGGGGATGGCACGGACGGCTCGTGCTGCTACGCTGTTGTACTTGCTGAGAGGGTCTTTGTCTGGTGCTGTAGTCCATAACCACCATCAGGTAGGAGGGAGTGCACAAGTAACACTGGCTTCTGGTGCACTGAGCTGCGAGGAGAGGAGAGGCTCGGAGCAGGGGAGAGCCCTGCACGCTTGCTCCACCCTGCGCAGAGTTAAACTGGTTACTCTTAAAAAAAAAGCAACAGAGTGAAGCCTCGCACCTGAGATCCTGTGTACACGCGATGAACGTGCCACGAGTTCCTTGCAACCACAGGAGAAATAATAACATCTTACCTCTGGGGGTTGCACCGCATATCTTTTTTTCATCAAAGTGTTTAAGTGTATCTGTTCACACCCCTACCCTGTCGTGTCCCTTAGGGACAGGTGACATGAGGACAAGCACGTCTTTTTGCTGTCTTAGTAGGCCCTTGGGGGAGAGAGGGGACCTCACCACTGTGCAGAGGCTTCACATCCCCAGCCAGCTCTCCCCAGCCTGTGTAACACACCATCTCCCTCCATCTCCCTGTAATTTTAGGGTAGCTCCACCTCTCCCACTGGTATCTGGTGCTCAACCTGAGAACGCAGTCAGTGGCGGTCAATAAAGAGATATAGGAAACACGCAATTGGCTTTGGGGGTTTCATTTGTTTCTTTCTAAGGCTTTCGAAGTTGAAAGGTCCGTGCAGTGCCTGACGCCACTTGGAGGATGCGCTTTCCACCACTGAAGTACATTTTGTGATGATCGTTTGCCCTTTCTTTCATGTTCCTGTTATCCTTCGTGCAAGCAAGACAGAAGGATTGGAAAAAGAACAAGATTCCATAGCCCAACAACCACGCCATTTCTGAAGCTGCGTCTGTAAAGACTGCAGTGCAGACCTCACTTGTGTGATATGATGTGAAAGATTTAATCTGAAATGAATGATTAAGGGTGTTTGATGGCAGGGTGGGTAGGGTGTAGGTACTACCTCTCCATGCAGTTGCCACGCATGAAATCCATGGCTCCCAAGCCTGCTTAGATGTCAGTGTTCAAGACTGAAGTTTTCAGCACTCATACTTGACTCAAATAGCTTTCCACCTAGATGGAAATTGAGGTGTTTAGGAAAAGTGTAGCATCACTGATAACCCTGCATCCCCATAATTAACCCCATAGGTAAAATCAGCTTGGACAGTGAATGCCTTTCCTCTTGGTAGAGTTCTTCACATCTAAGACCTGCAATGTAAGGTGGAGCTTCTGAGGTCCACTGTGGCTCCTAAATAGAGAAGGTCACTGCTTCCCTGTGAGCAGACACAAATTTGTCTCAGTCAACATATCTCTGGGTGCTTCCAGATCATGCCTACAAAACAAAGCAGGGTGACAACAAAACAAGGGCATCCTTCCTACGGAAGAGCATAGGTCCATGCCCCTCACTGGGTGGTAAGGACAGCTGGAGAAAGCGCGTTTGCTCTGCCAAAAGGATGAGCCCACCAACCTCTTCCCCTATGCTGATGATTCAGCTGTGAAAAAGAGAGAAAATATATGCACAGGTTTTTTTTTCTCATGGCATGGGTTTAAGTATTAATAAGAGCTATAAACACAGAAACTCTGGACCTATTTAAAATTAAAAAGTGCTTTCTTCTGCCACATCTAGGCAGGGGAGCCACATACAGGGAGCACTGGGAACCAAGAGCAATGACATTGCCAAAGAAAGTGAGTGTGCCGCAGAGCTCAGCCCTGTCCTCTGCCCGAAACCCCTGAGCCCAGGGGTGCTGGGATAGTTACTGGGACCAACATGACTGCTGGGAACAGGGCAGCTGGGGGAGAGCAAGGGAGAGGGGCAAGACTGCAGGGGCGCGGAAGTGCCACGGAAGCAGGGGCGAGAGGGAAAGGAAGGTGGTTACTGTCTGGTAATTAGAAAGCAAGGGATCCCCTTGGTGTCTGACACTATTACAAACCTATTTTTTACTTAATTATTTGGCACTCCCAAAGCTTTCTACCAAAAACCGTGCAGCCTGCTTCATTTTCATCTCCAGGAGAAAGGCATGAATGAGCACATTTGGGGAAAGGGCAATTTTGTACCAAGAGGGAGACATTCTACAGACAGGGAAGAGGGAAGGGGCATTTTAACAAGCTGCCCCTTGCTGCTTTGCCTGGCACTAACAGGCCCCTGGCCTCTGCTTGTTTCCCTTCCAAGGCATCTCCTCGCCAGAGCCTTGTCGCCTCCCTACTGTGTGCTGTCATTTCTCTCCTTCCTGACACAAACTGAGCAAAGACAGGAGGAAAAAAAACCCCAAAATCTAGCCCCAAACGTTTAGCCACTATTCCTGAGACTTAAAAATAAAGAAATATATTTTGAGTGTCACCTGTGCGCAGATGTTACCTGCAGGTAATTTGAGCAGTGTGTCTGTCTGTCTGTCCCATTAAATGGCATTTGAACAATTTTTGGGCCCCTTTTTCTGTCTGGATGGCAAAAAGTGAAATTTTTTGATGATAGGAAACCAGGACAGGTTGGGGTCAAGCTGGGAGCCATGCAGAGGGGGAAGCGGCGTTTGCAGTGGCTCCGGTGCTGCAATGCAGGAGGTGCCAAAGGACCTGTGCAGCCCCCCAATTCTTGGGCAAATCCTGGGAACACCAGAACTCAACTGTCTTGCTGCTCTGAGACGGGCTGATTTTAAAGCCTTTTGCAATCCATCAGCTAATTAAAAACATGAGCAGCTGCTAAAAGCCTCTGTATAAGGACAAGCTGGCCGGGTGGCTGATGGTGTGCTGTGTAGGAGGGGGAACTGTCACTGAGGGCTCCCCTGCCTGTCCCTGGGCTCAGAGCTCCCCTGTCCCTGAGGGCTTTGTCCACTCACAAAACAGCTTGAGCACAGGCAATAACACCTTCCTGCTTACTCAAAGATAAGTGTCACTTACTCGAAGTGCCTGTGTCACTCAAAATATTTCACATTTTTTCACCCCAGAGTCTTTTTTGGTCACATTGCTCTGGGATACTCCTTCTCTTCTTCTGCACACTTGGTTCTGCAAAAATTATTATTTCCCTTTGCTGACATTAATTTTCAAGTTTTGTCTTTCATAGCTTATAATCGCAGTTTCAAGAAGGGGCTGTTCACCACAGCTTTCTACACAAAACCACCTGTTAATAAGGTGCTGCTAACACTCTTCAAGAATTAACACAACTTCTTGGAAGTTTTTTGGTTATCATCCTCTGATTTAACTTCCACTCCAGAGAAATTGTTGAAGAATCCTGAGGGGATGCATCAGCCACTGGTCCAGGGCATGCATCCTCCTCCAGGCAACTCTCTTCTCCCACAGGCCCTGATGACCCAGTGGTGGTGGCAGCCATGTAGGGGAGAGCAGCAGGATCTGCTGCTGTACCTGCCCCCTCTCCTCCTCAGCATCACATTGCTTGGGCAGGGTATGTCACCTCTGATGGGTCCCGTTTCCTCCAAGAAAAAGCTGGGAGCAAGGCCTGGCAGGATATGACCTGCAAGCCACCAGCGGGGAAGCTGTCCCTGAGCATCTTGGGACAGAGCTGCCCTCTTGGCAGGAGGAGGAGGAGGAGGAGGACCCTCCTCATCCTTTCCGGGAGAAGGTGCACAGAGTTCACACAACCCTCTCTGCAAGGGCTCCGGCAATCAGTAGATGCCACATTCCCGCCTCTTGCCCCCGGCTTACCCATTAGTTTTGGAGTTTTGTCTGGTGGCCCGTGGCAGGAGGCCAGGCTGAGAGAGGGAGGGATTTCCCGGCAGAGCCGAGTGCCCACGGGGTGGCAGCCTTTCCTCCGCTCCGGCACACCGACCGCCCCCCTTCACCCGCCCGAGGACTGCACTACTCTGGCACTTCTTGGTTTCTGACTGATTTGCAAGTTAGCCAGTGTTACATAAAGATCAGGAGTATTCTGACCGTGTGCCAGCATTTCCTCCCCAAACACATGGCTCCAAACACATCCAACACATCGCCCCCCTCCCTCCCCCCCGCCCCGTATTCTCTCAAAAGTGCATGACGCTGACACACGGGGCACACCTCTGCAGTTTATCACTGCTGTGTCAAGCATGTAGATTTGGTAAGCACAGGCAGAGAAAACTGCCGTGGCATGGTCTCTGCCTCCCTGAACCCGGACTTTGTCCCTCCGGTGTGACCTCTTGTCAAGACTGGCTTGGAAAACCACTAACTTATGTGAGAAGAGCAGATAGCTGTCAAGTCCCTTGTTTTTAAGCTCCTGGTCAGGCCATGAGGATTTTCCTGGGGGAAGTGCAGCCGTGTCCATAGACAGCCCATGCAGCATTGCTGGAGCCAGGTTAAATGGCTGGCACTTAGCTTGCAATTAACTGGCACTTTCAAAGAAAAATATGAAGTTGAGAAATGGCCCAGATGTTTACAGTATATCTTAGAGTGCAGCATAATCAGGAAAAAAATGAAATCTCAATCAGAGAGGCTGAGGCAAGATGATGGCGTGATGTAAGTTGACCCAAACTCAGAAGACTTGTCCCCATCTCAAAGGGCACCCTCCAGCTGTCTTGCAGAGACCTACCACACAACATGAGGGACATGAACTCTTCAGAAAATCGTCCTTCTCTGCAAAACCTGGTGCTGCTGGGGAAATCCCTGCCAGCTGCCACACACACATCACCCCATGGCTCTGCTTGATGTCCTGCCCAGCTTGCCCTTTCGCAGTGCCAATTTGCCCAGACCATCGTGGGGGACTGCCACCACTGCCATGCTGGAGGAGCTGCAGATCAGGGAGGTGCCACTATGGGAGGGGGCAGAGAGGGGGGCACACACTGCCCACCAGCATAGGGCTGCTGGGAGAGCCATCAACCATGGCCTGCAGATGTCTGGCACGGCAAACTCCAGCATACTGCAGAGCACATAGCTGCAGGT